TTGAACCTCGCAGGCCATGGCCGGCGCAGCGAAGCCTCGAGACAGACAAGGTTAGTGGGCGCACAGCTGGCGCGCAGCCAGCTTTGCCACGCAACCGCGTCCGAGCCCGAACAACTCCCACTTCTCCGACGGCCCCCAAACGGCCGCCGTGGGCAATGTCGTGAGAGTCCAGAAACGGATCGAGGAACGCGCTCGGAAATGACGCTGGAGGACAGCAAGGCTCCAGGCTCCATCATGCCCCGGGGCACGAAGCATGCGACGACGACACTAAACGACGCCTGGCGGGCAAGTACCCCGATGCCCCGGGGCACAGGCACTTGGTGACGGTCCAGTCTGCCCCGGTACCCCGCAAGACACGCACAGTCAGCCCATCCGACCAATCAGCGCGCCCGCTCGCCATAGTCAAGCCTAATAACTCAGATAATCACAACCCTTTTCACATTCAAGCACACGCGTGCAGCCCGCGGATCCCAGCGAGTCCGGAGCTTCACGAGAAATTGGGGAAAATCACATAAAACAATATACCCGGTACAGTGCGTCATTTGTATTGGGGCTTTCGCAACTGTACACTATATACCAACGATACTTGGTGTCGTCCAAGTGCAGTAGGTATAATACCAGTGCCATGGAGAGCATCGATATCTGACTCGAAGACGTTTGAGCCATGTGAGAAGTCCGTCGCAGCTCTCGAGTGTAGCAGTGGTGTCGGCCTCGAGGTGCAGGTCCAAAAGATGCGGGCACGACGCAGCAATCGTTGCCATGTAGCAGTTCAACTGCTCTTGATTCCAGATGTCTTCTTCCCACTTGACGCTGAGTACAGCTTGAGCTTGGGGCAAATTGCGAGCTCTCGTTTCTTGTTGTAAAAGGCTCATGTTCAATGTGTCTTTTGTGACGTAGACTGTAAGACGCACGACGTTCTTGGCCCAGTGGTGGAAGCTGCCACGGAGACCGCCCTGGTCGTCAACGAAAGCGTGGACGTCGGTTGCTGGCGGAAGCGATTGGTCGGCAAAGCTATGCGACGGATAAGCCCGCAGCATGTGAAACGTAGGCAGTGCCTTCACTGCGGTCGACGTGTCCATCATAGCCAAGTCGTTAATTAGCTGTGTGGCCGAAGACGGGACTATTGTTACAAGAGCGTTGCAAGCACTTCGAGCATTTCGTCAAGGGCCTCGATCGGCTCTGCGTCGAGAAGAACAACAACGTCGTCGTACGTCTCCAAGCATCGGACGATCTGCAGCACGATCGGTGGCAGCAGCCATGACGGCGCTGCCATCCCGCTTTCCCTCGGTCATCGTGTTTGCTTGGGTAGAGAGGCATTTATTGTCTTAATTGAAGGAAAAACGCGCCAACTGTTGTTGAAGTGGGTCACTTGTTTCAACGAGCAGTGCCAACCATGCCAGTGCAACTGGAATCCGCGACGCCATTTATGAAATTAGAGCTCGCAACGACTCAACGTGCGAGGCCGATGACGCTCTTGCAGGTGCTGCCCAAGACAACAATGCAAACACTGCATACTACAGCATGCTCGACGATCCATTTCAACGCGATAGATCAACACACACAACATTTACGTAGCGTGTCTATGCAAGCGGCACCTTTACCATCGTTTGTGGCGAGAGCGACCGCGGTCCTGGTAGAACTTGATACCGCGCATGCGTGTTGAGCGAGCCTGTACTTGTCAGTATCCGACTAGTCCCATGGATTGGCCCGTCTTCGCAAAAAACGCAGCTGCATCCGCGTACCAAGGGTCGGCAAGAATTCTGGCACGCGGCAAAGTCGAAATCGTCATCACCGTGCAGTTCGATCTGCACCTCGTGCGTGCTGCGAATCTGGCTCATCGCAGCGGCGATCCGTGGCTCGCTCCCGTGCTTTACATGCAGGCGCACGTAGCACGCACCTCGCTGGCGATTCAGCCAGCGTGGCAGAGCATCCAGGATCGTTTGGAGGTGGTCCTCGGACAAAGTGGTGTTGCCGAGGTCGAGTCGAAAAAGCGTGGTCGTCGCTGCTAGCACGGCTGCGACACTGGCGACGGCACGTTCCGTAGGCGGAGAGACTGGAGCTCGGGCAATAGTGAAGAAAATGTCTTCATCTTGACACGGACGAGCTCGAGCATGCGCAATGTGGTTGGCACAATCACATCGAGCCAGCTGCCGCCGAATCCGATCGTCAAGTCGCGTAGCTGCGGCGGCGACTCCAAAAAAGACTCGAGGACGTTTGAAGCGCCCAAGATCTGCATCATATGGAGCGTCGTCGACGTGAGCAGCGCATGCGCCAAGGCCTTAGCTGCGGCTGGCGCAAAGTCGATGGCACGGAGCTCAAATTACTGGGCACAGGAGTGCGCAAGCCATCCAAGGAGGCTCTCGCAGCTCTCCAGTTCCGAATCGACATCGGTGTTGAGACCCAGATGGCAGAGATGGGGGCGCGAGGCCATGATCGCTGCGACCGCGCTATCCCACTGTTCGTCGTCGACCTCTTCGTCCCACTCGACATAAACCGACTTGAGCGACGTGAGGTCAGACGCTGCAAGCTCGTCCTGCAAAACACTGCAATCCAGTGGCTCTTTGATGACGACGATCGTAAGACTCACGACGTTCGGTGTCCAGCTGCCCAAAATGGATCGGACGTCGCTGGTCCTCGACATAGACACCGACCTTGGTCGTCGGTGCTAGCGACAGGCCATGGCCAATGGTGCTACCTTGGGTGATTAGCATCTTGCGAAGCACCGTTGCCACAATCGAGTCGTCGTCCATGGCGCTTGTTTTGTACAAGACGTCCATGTCGGTCACGGGCCAGAGGTCGGGCTCGACGACCACGAGCGTCAGGAGCGCATCGAGGGCCGCGACGCAGGCATCGTTGGGCACTGCACCGAGAAAGGCAATGACATCCCTGCCATCGTCCAAGTAGTGGACGACCTGCAGCACGACTGGTGGCAGGAGCCATGGCGCCGCCTGCACCCGCGCCTATTTTGTCGTTTTTTCGATGGACATGGACGTATCGAAACACGATGTGGAAAAGGCAAGGCGGAAAATACCGGTGCGATCGAGCTGGGTGAAGAAGGCCATTGGGTGAAGGCGGTTCCTTGCATGCATCGACAGTACACTAGAGTTGTTGTTGAAGTGGGTCTCTATTACAATAGATAAAACTATGCTAAATAAAATTGTCGGACTTTCTTCGTTGTGTGTACTCGGTTGAGGGACTTGATTTAGGCAGGCGGAGGCAGAAGCGCTACCCGCGGGACGAGGTGACGTCGTGGCCACTCATGTTGGGCGAGGAGCTGGAGAAGACGACGAAGAGCAGGCTGCTCGGGCTCTTGTACGAGGCTGTGGTGCAAGTGCAGTTGAGCGACGTTGACCCTTGCAGGGTCAACACCTGGAAAAGACCCTTGGAACCTGCAAACTAAAGTGGCGTGAGATTCGGCTATGTGATCATATGTGTATGTTCATGACTAGCGGCACCTCAGCTTAGCCGGCAAAGCAGCTTTCGCCAGTCGAGTAGTTTGTCAACAACGCCATCACGTGGGAACTTTACGTGGTCGTCTTGGCGTCGAGCTCAATGAGGCCCCCGAGGCGATCAGCCGTCAATGCCAAAGCATACTTTATCGGCGTCGACCAGATCTTTCGATATTTGCAAGTCGCTTGACCGACCCCGTCGTCGATCGCCGCCACCGCAAGATCGCAAATTGAAACAAAAGCGACTCCATTGGTCGTTTTACACACTATTCAATACACACTACTACAACTTTCTCTATCGA